CTCTTCTGTCAATTTACAGGAACTTAATTTTTAAAAATTGGAAGCATGACTAATCTTGGATTCAAATTTGTCACTTCAATTATGGTAAGCAGAGTTGTTGCTATGTGCCATATAAAAAACTGTTAAAATTTGGCAATGAACTCATCTGTGTGCCTGTTAATCATCTGCCAAAAACTAATCACAAGTCAGCACTATCTTCTCAAAACACACAAGGGAAATCAGATCTCTAACCACTGAGGCATGACAACTGACATTAAATTGGAAAACTGAAAAACTAAATAAAGATGTATGTACTGTTGAACTAAATTTTGTCTTAAAAACTAAAATTCAACCAAGATGAAGGTGTCACATGAACCACATCTTGATAGCATGAATTCTCGTGTAAAATATTGTTGTGTTTAATTTTTTTAAGAATTATAACGGATAGCTTATAATTTTAAGGTTCCAAGAACATTTTCTTAAGAAAAATTATCTGAGTGTTCCGGTTGGAACCAACTCATGGGAACCCTCCCTCCACTGAGGTTTCTGAGGCTGTAAATTTTAGGGGAGGAGACTGCCCATCATTTCCCCTTGAAGCCTCTGTTAGATCTGAACCATCAGAGAGATGTGGTTCTCTTCTACTGCAGTGCAGGGATTATGTCAACAGAGCTCCCTGTGAAAAGAATACTAGGACACACCCTGATCAATGATAAATCACACACATGTTACAGATAGTCCAAGTATTATAGTGACTAAAATGGAGGTTATTTTGAAATAAGCAAGCCAAAAGCCACTATCAGTCTCAGTTTTGAGAACTTAAAAAGAGGAATCATTAGTCTTTCAGACAATCACTGACAGCTCATTGAATAAATACAAGAAAGATCAAAGTATGGGTGCTAACAAGATGTGGCAAATATATATGAAATATTTCTATCTGAAAAACATAAACAAATTGTCAAAAAGACATTACTTGCTCAAAATCACTGGCAATAAGAGAGATGCAAATCAAAACCACAATGAGATACCATCTCACCCCAGTAGTAGTTTAATAGGACAGAAAACAATAAATGTTGGAAAGAATATGAGAGATTGAAACTTTCCTACACTGTTGGTGGAATTATAAAAAGGTACAACCGTGTGGAAGGCAGTTTTGTCTTTTTTCAAAAAGCTAAACAGTGAAATTTCATATGATTCAAGTATTCCACTGCTTGGAATATAACCTGAGGAAAATAGAACTGAGACAGAAATGGGGATTTGTACATTGATTTTCAAAATAATGTTAATTATAATAGCAAGAAAATGGAAACAGCTCAAAATGTCCATGAACAAATGAATGGGTTGAGAAATTATGGTACATTCACACGATGGAATACTATTTAGCGCTCAGGAGCAATGACTGCATAAAATACTATGTATCATGGGAAAGGCTTGAAACCATTATGTTGAGTGAACTAACTCCATCCCATAAGGACAAACACTGCATAAGACGTCCCTTGATATGTTCAACAGTCTTATTGTGAAAACAGAAGGATTACTAGTAAGATGCACATAAAAGTCTAAAGGGGGAAGGGGAGAGGGTTATGGGCTGTGGGTAGGAAGGAGAGAAAATCATGAGATGACAGAGGGCATGAAGGAGTTTGGAAAGATCCAATTGGGACCTTAAAAGAGATGATAGTGGGCATAGATCAGTGGTGATTGGTTTTATAAAATACAATGTTATGGGAATGATCATATGAAACACAATATGAATGAAGGAATGTTTGAAACACAATGTGTTAGGAAAGAAATACAGTGTATACAGATTTTGTATGCAAACCAATATAAAATAATGAAAAATATGTCCTTAAAACCCCAAATTGTTGTTGTTTGTTGTTATGTGCCATCGAGTCGCCTGTGACTCAGAGCAACCCTTTGCATAACAGCTCTAAACCCTGCTCCATCCTGAGCCACCCTTATTGTCTCTGACACACCTACTCCCATTACCTCAGTCACTGAGTCAATTCATCTCATCAAGGGTCCTCCTCTCCTGCGCTATCCCTCCACCCTCCTAAATGTCCCTCTCCAAGGACTGGTCTTCCCCTGCAACATGCCCAAAGTATGTCAGACAGAGTGTCATAATCTTTGTCTCCAAGAAGCAGCCTGGTTTTGCCCTTTCCAGATTCCAAGATGTACCTATTTGTTCTCCTAGCAGTAGTCCAGAGGATACTCAAGACTTTTCGCTAGCACCACAGCTCAAAGACATCAAATTCTCCATCCACCATTCCTAGTCATTGTCCAGCTTTCTGACCCATAACAAGCAACTGCAAAGACCATGGCTTGGATCAGGCACACCTTACTCTCCATATTGACATCTTTGCTCTTCTGTACTCTGGAGAAGTCCCTGACAGCAGATTTTCCTAGTGCAATTTGTCTGTTGATTTCCTGGCTGCATTACTTAAATGTGAGCCTGTAAAGTTTGTATCATTAATATCCAGATTATCAAGGGGTCAATATTGATCTACAAAGAAAGAAGCTGGCAGATTGCTGTGCAGTTTACTAGAAGTGAAATCTACCGCTCATTGTCTTTGTGTAATTTCCACAATATGACTGGATTGTTGTTGTTGTTATTGTGCTGTTAGGTGACATCAAGCCGACTATAACTCATAGTGACTCTAGAACAAGAGTTTTTAACCATGTCCCATCCTCACCATGTCCGACATGCTCCAGACCAGTGTTACAATCATCGTGTCAATCCATCCTATTGAGGGCCTTCATCTCTTTCTCTTACCCTTCACCTTTCCCCAGCAGGATGTCTTTTTCAAGGAATATGCTGAATGTAGGCAAATATAAGGTGTTTGCTGTGTAGCAAGGGGGTTGGAAAACCTGCTAATAATGAAAATAACTTGTATAGTACTCTTGTTATTGTTAGGTGCTGTTGAGTCGAGTAAGAGTCATAATGACCTTACGCACAACAGATCTGAACCCTGAGTGTGTGGCACACTAACACGGGGATCAGTCTAACACCCTAACAGATTTAAAACAAGCCATCCCACAGACAGAAAGAGGAATCTTACCACCATTAATGAAGAAAAACCTTCACTCTCTGGACTGGGACTTCTAGACCCAGGAGAGTGAGTGGTTAAGCACAAGAAACGGCAAAAGACAGTGCAACGGTGCAAAGCAGCAGCAGAATTAAGGCAGCAGCACTGGTAACGGAACCAGCAGGCTGGCATGAAAGCAGCTGTGCGTTCCTGGCTCATGGAGGGAAAAAGTGGAGTGCTTTCGGGGCAGGAGGCTTGCTGATGGAGTGGGTACATTTAGGCATTTGTAGGGTAGTTAGGTTCATGAACCTATCGAGCCTTCAGGTTTGGGTTTGCTTACTGGAATGAGTTGCTTTCAAGAGAACTTCAAATAGCCAACTTAAAAGCGCTTTTTTTTTTTTTTAATTTAGGTTGTTTATTTTTCATGTCAATGAACATCTACAGAGATTTTGGAATTCCATTCATTCACTGTTGCACCCTTCTCCCCGCACAA